TTATTATTATTATTATTACGTATTTATTATTACTATTTGTATAATAATAACAATTATTATTATTATTATTGCTACTATCATTATAATTGTTGTTCCTTACTTAATGACAAACTGTTGTTTTTTTTGCCTGCTAAATTTTTGCGCTACTTAAACTGTATGTATACTCGTAAGCGATAAATATATATTCATTATAATACACACATATGACTAATGACAATTGAAAAAAAATGCCAAACTGCAAGTGTCTTGTTGAAAACTTTCGACCATAGGCTTACAAACTATAATATATCTGAATACAGACTGTATCTTTTTGTGCGCTAAGCCACATGCCCTAAGCACTTATTTTATTAAAGAGATGGAAGTATGTTTCTGTGTTGAAACAATATTTTTTCGAAAATGATATTTTCTGTATTCAGATATGAATATATTCAACCGCAGCTCGTGTGTAACTGTCCACTACATGCAGAGACGATTTTATCAACATTCCAAAAATTAAGATGATCAAATTAACAAAAATCATCAATCTAAGCATTTTTCATTTCATTGCCAAGTAGCTCTTAAAAGGCATTTAATAAAAAGAAGGAAAATAATGTGGGAATTACTTATGCCGGTGACACGAATATTGATAAAATAAAAATCTTATGCAGTATTTAACATTCCCTTAAGGACAAAGTAATAAAAATTAATGATTAATAGCTAACTAACTATTAAGGATGGACACTACAAGAACAAAATATTAAGACAGCTCTTATATACATAACTGCTACTCGACTACACTCTAGTCTCTAACGCTCGATCTGTGAATAGTCGTCGTTCCGACATATTTTTGTATATTTTATAAAAAGATAACGATATATATATATATATGTATATATCCATATATGATATACCACTGTAAGCAACGGCAAGTGTAGTCGCCTTGTGAAACCCCTGCCCCCACGCTCTTTATGCAAAAAATCAAACTAATCATTTACCCCCTTTTCCCCCTTTTTTACTTTAATTCCTAAATTTCTGAAGACAAAATTTAATAACATGTAGATAAAAACTATAGTAGTCAACCCTTCCCTTTTCGAGTGAGTCTGTACTTTACCCCTTTCAATATTTGTCTTACATATTCAACTAAATCCTATCCAAAATTTTGTCTAACAACGTCAGTCTTAGAATTAAGAAAAAACAATAACGTTCTTTACTCATGTAGAGTAAAGCACACCACCCCACCTCTACACACACACACACACACACACCAATTTTCCGGGAAAAAATTGCTGAAACTTCTAGAAGGAACAACTTGCATTTTTTAGAAGATTTAGATAAAAATATAAGTTTAACTGTACTTTACCATTCAAAGACTAAAATTTTTAATTTTTGTATAGTGGCCAAATACTTGTACGTACACAGTTTCAAAGATCTTTTAGGTATTCCTTAGCTCTCCAGAATAAATATATGCCGTTGCACGTTACCCTTTGGGCTTATTCGGAAACAAATGATGATAATAAAAAAATCCTGCAATAACTATTTACTCTATGCTCAAGTCTAACTCTTCTATGAATTGATGATTTAAAAGCTATACAAAGCAGTTGAACATTTTAAAAATATATAACCAAAGTATTATGGTCTAAATTCTCCTTTCAACGAGGAAGAGCCACTATTAAAATTTTTTATTTAAGGGTTTGATCTAACTAATATCATTCTTAGGCTTCGATAGTTTTTATTCCTATTTTTTTTTCTTTTTCCTTGGAAGAGCCTGTGAACGCATAATAATCCGTTCCAATGTGCATGTATTATATAATTCCATGATGAGTGCGTATGAAATTGTATTATATACGTACAATTTCTATGATCCTGTGTGTATTAAACATATATACGCATCCATACTAACAAAATATATACATATAAATACATGAGTAAAAATAAAACCAAAGGAAATAAAGTGAGAAATCAAACAAAAAATTAAATGTGGTGCGACGTATTTTCTCTACCGGTGAGTGAGAAAATGCTAAAACAAATTAGTAGATAACGAGTGAAGGATCAGTGTTTTTCTTGAGAGGTACTTATGCGTGCGCGCCGCCAAAAAGCAATGTGTGTCGATGACATGAAACAAACTTTGAAAAATGTACGATATATTTATAATAATTTTAATAACGTTTATAAAAATTAGCATGAGACGGCGATTCTCGAGCACATTTGCGTTTCACGCGCTACGCCTCTGCGCTCGTCAAACTGTTAATCACACAATTGTAAATATTTGAAAACGAGGAGTTTGAACGAGAGATATCAGTCATAAAAGTGGAAGGATTAAAAAAAAAAAAAAAAAAAAAAAAAAAAAAAACATAATGTTAGTACATCGTCGGAAACAAAAAGAAGAAAGAAAAAAAGAAAAAACAATAAACAAAAAAAAGAGTGGAGACAAAAAACATTATCTTATAATGTTTGGATTTTAATTATAATGGACTCGTAAGCGTAAACACTTTGTTTAGAATAAATCTTAAATTGACCAAGAATCTTTTGTCGCGTGGTCTCTCTGGTTCCTTGATTATCACTTCCATGTCCTCCTTCATCTACTTGTGTGTGTCTCGTATTACACCTATCCCCTTGTCACTTTGTTCATTTCAATGTTTTTTTTTTAACTTTTCCTTTTTTTCTTTTCAAAAGCACCTTAATTCTCTACATGTCTTCTCCAAACTTTTTGTTCTGCTGTCAATACCACACAGTATGTTTTTATTTCACAATGGCACCGTTGCTGCACTTTATCAAAGCTCACTAGATTAACTGCTTGTTATATTTTGTTTTTTTTTTACAAAAACGCAGTACCAGACGGTAGTACATGCTTATAATATGGACTGTCGTACGACGGAATTTGTTCATCCACCTCTCAACGACGAAGGTTTTTCCACGTCTAACTTCTACTAACCTGGTTTTGGTCTTTTTATCGTAGAAATGTAGTCGCGTAATTTTGTCTTGCCATCCTGTTTGAGTGAAATCTATACTCTTCTACATATTGATTTGTAAATACACTATCTGTACTTTGGATTCCTAGTGTAACATACTTTGTGTTTTTTTTTTGTCAAACAAGAGGTGTTTTATCATTCAAGGACATCGTTAAATATCATCTGGTTAGGATGTACAAACAATTTTATTCGTATATATTGTAATTTACGTCTGACTCTGTAATCCTGATGATTATTATCATGATGAAATATTATTGTAAATGTAACTGTAACAATCCGCAAGACAAAATCATGCGACGAAAACGTAGTATTTATTTGAAAAAAAAAAAAAAAAAAAAAAAATAGAGCCGAAACAGTTGAAAGAAACAGCCTCGGCAACGATGGTACTGTGTTTTTGGCCTCACTGTTAAATTTATGATTTGCCGGCCACCCAGCCGCGGCGCTACGCCCGAGTCTACGCCATCGCCACGTTCACTTCCCCCGACGAACAGCAAAGATCGGCCGGAGCCGGCCGGAAGTACCAGTAGCAGTAGTTGCAGCAGTCCGGCCCGGAAGCAGCAGCCGGTGCATCGCTCCCACACCGGTGGGCCCCTGGATCCAGGAGTGAACGACCTGCCGAGAACCCCCAGTCCCACGAAGAGCAAACTCAACTTTCTCGAGGGCTTTCGGAACACGCTGCGCGCCCGCTCGCCCGTCCGCATCGGCTCCGTACCGGTGAGCACTCGATATCTTATCTACACTAACACCCGTACGTGCTCTGCTCGACCTAACCGATGCGTATACTTGGAACGATTAAAAATCATTTATAAGTAGTAGACGCATTCTTTGTCAAGTGATTCTTTCGATACAAGTTTGCTCGCGACTGTTGAATGAAGCACTCGGAACGACAACTTTTACTCATGTAGTTTTCGATTTTTTCATTTCTTGGGATTTTTCTAAATATACGTGTGGATACTTTGCTTATTGTACATTTACTTGCGGTGTTGGGAAGTAATGCTGTATCCCATTAGCAACTTCTTTCGCAAAAGATCTATCATTTTGTCTTTTTTCTAACTGGCTTAGTGCATAAACCTATAAAAAAAAAAAAAAAAAAAAAAATCTGGTAGACCTTTTATAAATCTTACCAAACTTTTCAATTTCATCAGTACAGTAATTAACCATTATCTGTTTGAAGTAGTCATAGATTTTTTTTACGTAGCACAAAAATAAAGTACTAACAGTGAATCCTTAATTCATTAACAATGTGTATGAAAATAGATGTTATTGTGATGCAAGTTTTCAGACAATTATATACTTGGAGAGAATGCTTATCATCCGTAAAATAGACACTATATATATCTGTATTATGTTACAATAATACAGTATTTTCTTATGAATAATAAAAAAAACTCGTACTCATTTTTTTCTATAGAGTTAAAAATAAAGTAGTAATGACGAGATATATTATATTTACATTGTTTTAAAAGTAAAACTCACGAAACAGGGTTGGTCGAATAAATTAAGTACGAGAAGCTCCTGTTTCTTTTTTTCACGCATACTACGCACCTATAGTAATGACGATACAACAAAAAAAAAAAATACTACTTTTGAAACAAAAAACTTTACAGCTCATCACAGCTATTTTTAATTCCAGCAGAGGAACACTACTTCCGCTCCTTCATTTTTCTCTTGATGTCTGTCTGTATCTGCTCTCTATTGCCTTGCCTTCTGTCGCGGCGGCGACAAGTCTGCATACTTTTACTACTAAACAATGTCCAAGCGGGTGTATATATCACGTACACGCGTCATGCGTCTTTGAGGCTTCGGTGACGGTGATGGTGACGGCGATTTTTATTTTTTTTTTTTGCTCATCAAACTCATCTACCTCACGTTAAACGTGAATAAGTAAAAAATGAAAACTCACTAATGAAGGATGAATTACTTGAAACGAATAATAATACACGATTCCTTGTCAAAAGAAGCAAACAATTGATACAACAGAGGAGCGTGTATTTTATTATTACTCGCCATATCTGTGAACATATGTATGGATTTCGAACATGATTATGTGTCAATGTTCTTTATTTGTACTTGAAGAGAAAACAATGTAGAGCAAATTATTTATTTACCAAATATTAGGTATATTTATCTATGTATGTATATGTACGTGCGTACAATGCCAGAATGGTGATGGTCTTTTTTTTCTGGTTGGTTCATGGTATTTATTTCGATGAAAATTATTGTTACTACTTTTAATACTATGATTTAACTTTTATCATAACATCACTATAATTTTACTACTATACTACTGTTGTCAATAACAATATCTCCCCATCAAAGTAATTAGGTATGCGAAGAACCATTCCTGTTTTCATTAACATCGTCTACAACTGCATATTATCTACTATGTACTGCTGCTCTATAAACATGTAACCTACTGTTACTGGCTGTTTGAACTGTCATCATGAATTTGTAAATAGTATTTTTAGTTTACACTAGAAAAAAAAATGCGTAACTTAATGAAATGATCTGAATCGAAAAAAAAAAAAAATAAAATAAAATAAACAAAGAACAAACAACTGGTGTTGGATGTGGATTCGAAGCATGTCATTTCGCAGCATGAGTCGGAGCATGTAAACCACCTTCTGATGCTACACGGTCATCCGGAAGATTTTCACACGACTAACTGACCGGTGAGAGTGTGTTGTCTTTTGGTAGATTAAAAATAAACTTTGTTTTTTTTTCTGCTTGTTTCTTTTTTTCCATCTCCGACTTTGTATTATTAATTTTTCTACTTTCACCAATATTTGTACAAATTTTACTTTCGATTTATTTTTTGTTTTCACAAGAAAGTAATTTTACGTATACTTGCATCTGTTACATTTATATTGTTAAAACTTTATAATCGACGTTACTAACGCCTTATCACGAATTTGAATCCGTCTTTGACATAATTATTTTCCGTAAAATAATTAGTGAAACCCTACTTTTTGACTTTAACTCCCGAAAAAAAGATCCTGTGGCAGCTTGTTTGTAGCCGGTCGTAAGCGAGAAAACTCGGTTTGTTAGAAAAAATATCCCGGGCAAACGATTGACTTACTTATATTCACCATTTACCTGTGCCGGTAAACATGTGATATTCTCGCGAAGCCCGTGAGGTAAGCCCGCCAAAGATCTGAACCGAGTACCTGTATAATATACACCTATTAAGAGAGGAGAAGAGAAAAAGACCATCCGTGAACGAATGATCGACAGGTCGCGCCTGGCGCCCGAGTGAGGCTGACGGCGGATTGGGGCGCGTTGCGGGCCGGCGACGAGATAGTCGTCCGTGGTCTCGAGAACAACGGCCTCGTGGTGACGCTCGTCGAGCACCCGAAGCAGGAGCACTGGATACCCGCGAGCCTCATACCAAACTCGTCGGTGAGTCGCGCCTGGTCGTTCAGGCCCCGCAAGCCCAACGTGGACGTCAAGCACGAGCACCACTTGGGTAACAATGCGATGCAACACCTCGGCGCCGGGCCGAACCACAGCAGCGGCACCGGTGGCCGGCATCCCTCGTCACCTCCTTGCGTTTCTGGCGCGCCCACGCCCATCAAGGCCAACTCGGGGGAGATCGCCAGGCTGGCCGTCCAGGTATCCCAGGTAGGTCACACTGCTGTTGGCTCGTGTATGCGTGCATGTATTGAAGGTGTAATTTGTTGAATCAGGCCGAGGGAGCGCTGGTGGCTTGGCGACGCGAGGGTCAAGACCGGGACATCCAGGAGAACGAGCGGTACAGGCTGCGCCAGAGCGCGGGCTTTTTCTACCTGGAGATAACGAGGTGCAGGCCCGCGGACTCGGGGGCCTATCTCTGCAGCGTGAGCTGTGACAACGGTTCCTGCTCGGCAAGGATATACCTGACAGTCGCTGGTAGGTATATGACCGGTCGACCGATCGATCACCGTTGTCATCATAATTGACCGCTCGTTTGTTTGGTTGTGACGAAAGGTGGCACAGGAATGACGTGGGCGCGCGTCCTAGATTGGGAGGTGGACATGGGCCATGGGCGCATCGAGGTGGATTGGGAGCCCGAGGAGGTCGGCAGGTGCGACGTTGAATACCGATCCGCACCGTCGGCCAACTGGACGACGGCCCTCGAAGACATCGAGAGCCCGCCTGTGGTACTAGAGCTACTCCCGGGGGCGAGTTACAGCTTCCGAGTCGTCAGCAGGAGTAATGGCAGCGTTACCTCGGCCTCGCCCATTGTCAACTTGCCTCTGGGTGATGCCACTTCCTGGGAGTCGGAGCAATTCGTGGCGAGGTACCTCGAGCTCGATGAGATCGGCAAGGGCAGGTACGCGGCCGTGCGGAGAGCCAGGGACCGGGGCACCGGCCAGGAGGTCGCGCTCAAACAGACGCCGAGGCAGAAGCAGTCGAGGTCGCTCACTCGAGCGGAGTACGAGCTCCTCGCGTCCACTCATCACGGCAACATCGTTCGAGCCTTTGCTCTCTTCGAGAACTCGACGCTTGGCGTTGACACTATCGTCCTGGAACTGTACGACAATATTTTCTTTTTATAAAAAAAAGCCCATCCCGTTACACCTATACGCGGCGCTACTGTTTTTTTTTTTTTTTTTTTTTTTTTTTTTTTTTTTTTTTTTTAATCAAACTTTTATCATTGCAGCGTGCGGGGACCAATGCTGTTTCAGTTCTTGAGCAAGAAGACCGAGTATACCGAGGGCATGGCCAATAAGTTTGCGAATCAGTTGTTATCGGCGCTGCAGTGGCTGCACCAGCGGAATAAGGCTCATCTCGATCTGAAGCCCGAGAACGTGCTCGTCGACCAAGACACGGGCATCGTCAAGCTCATCGATTTTGGCGAGGCGGTGCGCGGCCCGGTGGACGAGGTCGTCGCACCCCCGGCTGATCTCGAATTTGCTGCTCCAGAGTCCGTCCTCGGCAGACCGTCCGGACCTTACACCGACATGTGGGCCGTCGGTGTTTTCATTTACGTCCTACTCAGGTAAGCACTCGTGATTAATTGGTTCGTCAAAATTGTTGTATGTATAAACTTCTCGTTTTACCCCTCTTTTTTTCGAATTTCTGTTTTGCAGTGGTCTTTCACCCTTCTTAGACGACTCCGTCGAAGAAACAACGACAAATATTTTGAAATGTGATTTTTGCTTTCCCGACGAGTATTTCGAGACCATATCAAACGAAGCCAAGGACCTGCTGAGCCGGCTGCTCTGCTTGAGGATCGAAGATCGAGCCAGCGCGCAGATCTCATTGTCTTCTCCGTGGTTCAAGGTGTGTGTGTGTGTGTGTGTGTGTGTGTGTTTTCATATTGTCATCGGTTATCAAGTACTTGTTTCATAATACTTTATCTATACCTGATTACTCAATTTTTGTTTTTTACAGGTTTCTAAAGGTGCTACAATACCCTCGACGAGAATGGCAGCTTTCACGGAGCGACGGGCGCACTGTTCGAAATCGCATCGAGATCATCGCAATAGTTTTTACTCTTGAGTCATAATACGTTTTAGCTAATTTTATCAAATGCGCGATATTATTAATAATATTTTATTATCACACTCCTGTATATATATATATATGCGAAAAAAGAAGAAAAAATGAGATGTGTTGAAATATTTTGTAAATTATGCGGTTACTTATTTTCTTCCATTCCATGTGTCACGCAAAACCAATTAATTATTGTACTTGAGAGAATGTACGTAAAATCTTTTATCTTTTTTGTTTTTTCATAGTCACATAAGAGAATAATTGTTTAGCAATGTATGTTAATGAATTTTTCAATCTTTGATTTATCTACAGTGTCGAATGGTGATATACACTTGATAAATAAATGATACGTATTTTTTAACCATAGTGTTTTAACATTTGTTTCTAACAATCAATATTTTTTAAGCCCTTATAATCCCTACTTCTCTATGTTTTTCCAATCCTGTCATCTTCAGTTCCATGGAGAACTGAATTAAATTCTTTTAGCATTTCTCAAGATTTCTTACAGATGTAAACTTTTAATGACATTTTTCGGGAATTTCACCTCCAACGATGGCTTTCAGATAAACATTGAAAATCAACAAGACATCTATGAGGCTCTTTTACCGTCAAGCTTGAATCAAATGGCGCCAGGGCACGTCGCGGCTGTCATGGCCGTCTCACTCACACAACATTACTTTTCTGTATTGTATGTACATAGGAAAGTAAAGTGTAGTGGTAAAGCGCAATATTTGAAATTTTGAAATGAATAAGGAAGACAAGAAAGAATATTATGGGAGCTTAAAAGTTTCAGAATTGAAGAAGCTTTTAAATGGGAAAGGAGCAAGAGTCAGTGGAAGAAAAGCAGAACTCGTGGAGGCAAAGTGGTCGAGGCATAAGCCATGACTTGGGAGCGGCAAAAATGTTGGTCTCCAAATTGCTTCGAGCCACTTTTTTTTTATCACACTATCAGAAGGAAATTTAAATTTCACTTTCTTATCGCAGGATATTACACTGCACTTCATTTTTCCTACTATCTTTAAACGTAAATGCAAACAAAAATTGTCTGCAAACAACAGCAATCATTTACAAAGGTTATGTCTTCTGCTTTGCTCATCACACAGGTAGGCTCACGAACACAATACACAACTGTAAATTTGACGGTGTGTAAGTGCGACGGCCATAACAGCCGCGACGTGCCCTGGCGCCATCTGATTCAAGCTTGACGGTAAAAGAGCCTCATAAGAATGAGAAAATGTGTTTTCTATAGCTATGTGCTGCATCCATTTTCTCTAATTTTCTAATGTTTAATCAGGCAAAGCAAAATTATGGTTAAATAAAGGCAGCCTTTGTTGGCAGCAAAAAATCTACTAAAATGTCTAAACAAAAACCCTCAGGGTGTGAAGGTGGCTCCCTACCACTACCACTCCCTACCACTACTACGTAACATATAATTTTTTCAAATTTATTAGGTTGTCTGATTTGTTATAATAAAAAGATAGTGTAACGAAGAACTTGATGAGATAGAAAATAATTATTATACGAAATTTACTACCTTGCGTTTGAGTATAATTCTGAATTTTTAAATCACATTCATGAAAGACAATTGGATCATTTTAATTTTCATCCGATTACAATTTTTTAAAACTTGTTCTACTCTTTGGACAATTTAAAATATACGGCTACCTGCATGGAATATTTTTAAAAATATTCAATGCGTAATAAGTAAGATGCAATACTTAGTTGATTTAACAAGAAAATATCGGCTTTTCGCGATTTATATGAAATTGTTTAAAGAGTACAACAAGCTTTCACAAATTGAAATTGGATAAAAAGTTTATATAATTAGAGAAAATATCGGCTTTTCGCGATTTATATCAATACTTTCAAAAATTAAATAAAATTTGATGAAAAATCAAAGAGTCCTGCAGGAAAGAAAGCTAGTAAATTTTATTGAAAAACAGACAGCCATATTATATTATAAACTAAAAATTTTGTACAATACAGTGGGAGGGTCTTTTTCATACGGGAACGCAAATTTCGCAATTTAAAAACACGAGAAGAGTCGATACCTTGAACTGCATCGAACACTGTTCGATTCGAACACACTAAACAGCGCCGAAACAGCGCGCGTCGCAATCTCGCAAACAGCAGTCCACGTATACAGGTATATAATACGTTACAAGATTCACAAGTACCGTGAGCACAGCGTCGTCAATATCATCTCGCCCATGGCCTCGTAGATACCGGCAGATATCGGCGATATCGTTCCTGGTTTCTGACCGACCACGTCTCAAATCATCCGGGTATCGTAAATATCGAGGAAGTTGGGAGAGAAGCTCCAGTGATGGATTCCAACGCGGAAAAAAGCGAAGCTGAGCAGCAACCGCCAAAGCAGGTGCCCCCTACTGCTGGCGGAATGGACGACGAGAACTCGGTGACTATGCTCGACGTTCTTCAGGAAGAGGCTGCTCTCGAGGAGGATGCCAACGCCGTCCTTGGAGCCTCCGACGACCAAAACTGCACGTACAGCCAGGTAAGACGTCACTCCTGTATTTATGCGAGCCAAGGCGGGGTAAGAGAGCACACTTTCCCTCTTTGAGCTCTCAGCCCCCGACATTTTTCTCATCATCTTTTTTTTTGTTTTTTTTTTCCTCGGAAAGAGGATGATCCACCTTTTTATTTTACACTGCAATTTTGAAAACTTGTGGAGTTCTTTAATTATTTTTTGCGATGCGATTGCATTGGTTGGTTTTTACATTTTTAAGGCCCAAACAGTGCGATAGGACGAATGACGTGATGTGTGTGTTTGTATTGACGGTTCGTTTGGATTCATTACCTCGTAATCGTACCTTATATACTTACTAGGAGGTTTATTTTTGATTATTGCGTTATCATAGTTTATAATGTTCATGTATCCAAGCGCTATTCTAGACAAAGTATTATTTTTCGGTAGATGAAAAGTGAGGTACATAAAAATTTCATTTCATCCCGGAATCTTTAAATCTTTACATCGTACAATTCTGTAGAGTAATGGATGGTATATAAGTGGTTTCTGTATACCATTATTGAGAATCACTGTTTATGTTTTATCAGGGATACATCCGACAAGCATTGTACGCTTGCAGGACTTGCTGTAGCGAAGGTACTAGAGCTGCCATTTGTTTTGCCTGTTCCCTTCACTGCCATGAAGGCCATGATCTTATTGAACTTTACACAAAGAGAAATACCAAGTGCGATTGTGGAAATTCCAAATTTGGCGATAAATCATGCAACCGTGAGTCGGTAAGTATTCTTGGAAAATTGCACTAGTTTTTCTTTTCAAATTAAAAATGACTCGGATGTTTCAGACAAAATCTCCAGAAAACGAAAAGAACAAGTACAATCACAATTATGATGGATTTTACTGCATTTGCAATAGACCTTATCCAGATCCAGATCAAACTGAAGATGATGAAATGATTCAGTGTGCAATCTGCGAAGATTGGTATCACTCAAAGGTAAATATATTACAAACTTCGTCTTTGACCATACAGGATCGAAATTTTATTCTTTAAATCTTCCCAGCATTTAGATAATGATACCAAGAGCCTTCCAGAGGATGACGAGTACAGTGAAATGATATGCTCTGGATGCATGAAAGAACATGATTTCCTGTGGCGATATGCTACTAAATATTCTAGTAAGCACAACAATATTGGTTGTTAATTCTTAATTAAATTTATGACTTTTTATTTTACCGCTCTTGTAGTTTCCAAAGATAAGAATGTCCACGCGAATCCGGAAAATGAAAAAGTTGACGTAGAAAAACTCGAAATTGAGTGCACTTTACCAGTTGCTGATTCTCCAATAAAGGAGGGGAGCGTGTTCTGGTCGGCAACTTGGCGATCTTCATTATGCCATTGTGAAAAGTGTCAAAAAGTAAGACACACAAAATCACATAAAGCCATAAAGAAACAATGACGAAACGATAAAAAAAAAAAAATATATATTTTTGATTTTTAGACTTATGAAGAGCATGGCTTATCGTATCTTCTGGACCCGTTCGACACTGTCCAAGAGTATGAAAAAGTCAGTAAGGCTAAAGGAAACGAATCTCTTCATGAGAAGGGCATGAAGGCTCTCGCATCTCTCGGCCATGTACAGCAATTGACCGCTATCGAAGAGTATAATAAAATGAAAGACAATCTGAAGGAATATCTTAAGAAATTTGCTGAGAATAAAAAGGTTGTGCGAGAGGAAGATATCCGGGAATTTTTTACTAAAATGGCATCGCAAAAGCGCCAAAAGGTCGTTGTTCCAACTTTTTGCCGTTAAGGGCATTTTATATTTTTAAAAATGTTTTAAGTAAAAAAAAAAAAGAAATTTATCGTGTTTTTATAAACTAAATCTTGTAGCATTTTACTTGATCCATTTGGGGCTACAAGAACTGCCAAATTAATGGTAATTTATTGTTCCTTTTCTATATGCATGTAAAACGTTTATACCGATTTCGGGAACTCTTAAAATAGTTTGTAGCAATAGTATGTTTACATTAAAAAAGTTTTAGCGTTTTAAAAAAAAATCCGTTTTGAAAACGGTATATCTTGTATCATTGAAATAACTCAATACACAACTGTAAATTTGACGGTGTGTAAGTGCGACGGCCATAACAGCCGCGACGTGCCCTGGCGCCATCTGATTCAAGCTTGACGGTAAAAGAGCCTCATAAGAATGAGAAAATGTGTTTTCTATAGCTATGTGCTGCATCCATTTTCTCTAATTTTCTAATGTTTAATCAGGCAAAGCAAAATTATGGTTAAATAAAGGCAGCCTTTGTTGGCAGCAAAAAATCTACTAAAATGTCTAAACAAAAACCCTCAGGGTGTGAAGGTGGCTCCCTACCACTACCACTCCCTACCACTACTACGTAACATATAATTTTTTCAAATTTATTAGGTTGTCTGATTTGTTATAATAAAAAGATAGTGTAACGAAGAACTTGATGAGATAGAAAATAATTATTATACGAAATTTACTACCTTGCGTTTGAGTATAATTCTGAATTTTTAAATCACATTCATGAAAGACAATTGGATCATTTTAATTTTCATCCGATTACAATTTTTTAAAACTTGTTCTACTCTTTGGACAATTTAAAATATACGGCTACCTGCATGGAATATTTTTAAAAATATTCAATGCGTAATAAGTAAGATGCAATACTTAGTTGATTTAACAAGAAAATATCGGCTTTTCGCGATTTATATGAAATTGTTTAAAGAGTACAACAAGCTTTCACAAATTGAAATTGGATAAAAAGTTTATATAATTAGAGAAAATATCGGCTTTTCGCGATTTATATCAATACTTTCAAAAATTAAATAAAATTTGATGAAAAATCAAAGAGTCCTGCAGGAAAGAAAGCTAGTAAATTTTATTGAAAAACAGACAGCCATATTATATTATAAACTAAAAATTTTGTACAATACAGTGGGAGGGTCTTTTTCATACGGGAACGCAAATTTCGCAATTTAAAAACACGAGAAGAGTCGATACCTTGAACTGCATCGAACACTGTTCGATTCGAACACACTAAACAGCGCCGAAACAGCGCGCGTCGCAATCTCGCAAACAGCAGTCCACGTATACAGGTATATAATACGTTACAAGATTCACAAGTACCGTGAGCACAGCGTCGTCAATATCATCTCGCCCATGGCCTCGTAGATACCGGCAGATATCGGCGATATCGTTCCTGGTTTCTGACCGACCACGTCTCAAATCATCCGGGTATCGTAAATATCGAGGAAGTTGGGAGAGAAGCTCCAGTGATGGATTCCAACGCGGAAAAAAGCGAAGCTGAGCAGCAACCGCCAAAGCAGGTGCCCCCTACTGCTGGCGGAATGGACGACGAGAACTCGGTGACTATGCTCGACGTTCTTCAGGAAGAGGCTGCTCTCGAGGAGGATGCCAACGCCGTCCTTGGAGCCTCCGACGACCAAAACTGCACGTACAGCCAGGTAAGACGTCACTCCTGTATTTATGCGAGCCAAGGCGGGGTAAGAGAGCACACTTTCCCTCTTTGAGCTCTCAGCCCCCGACATTTTTCTCATCATCTTTTTTTTTGTTTTTTTTTTCCTCGGAAAGAGGATGATCCACCTTTTTATTTTACACTGCAATTTTGAAAACTTGTGGAGTTCTTTAATTATTTTTTGCGATGCGATTGCATTGGTTGGTTTTTACATTTTTAAGGCCCAAACAGTGCGATAGGACGAATGACGTGATGTGTGTGTTTGTATTGACGGTTCGTTTGGATTCATTACCTCGTAATCGTACCTTATATACTTACTAGGAGGTTTATTTTTGATTATTGCGTTATCATAGTTTATAATGTTCATGTATCCAAGCGCTATTCTAGACAAAGTATTATTTTTCGGTAGATGAAAAGTGAGGTACATAAAAATTTCATTTCATCCCGGAATCTTTAAATCTTTACATCGTACAATTCTGTAGAGTAATGGATGGTATATAAGTGGTTTCTGTATACCATTATTGAGAATCACTGTTTATGTTTTATCAGGGATACATCCGACAAGCATTGTACGCTTGCAGGACTTGCTGTAGCGAAGGTACTAGAGCTGCCATTTGTTTTGCCTGTTCCCTTCACTGCCATGAAGGCCATGATCTTATTGAACTTTACACAAAGAGAAATACCAAGTGCGATTGTGGAAATTCCAAATTTGGCGATAAATCATGCAACCGTGAGTCGGTAAGTATTCTTGGAAAATTGCACTAGTTTTTCTTTTCAAATTAAAAATGACTCGGATGTTTCAGACAAAATCTCCAGAAAACGAAAAGAACAAGTACAATCACAATTATGATGGATTTTACTGCATTTGCAATAGACCTTATCCAGATCCAGATCAAACTGAAGATGATGAAATGATTCAGTGTGCAATCTGCGAAGATTGGTATCACTCAAAGGTAAATATATTACAAACTTCGTCTTTGACCATACAGGATCGAAATTTTATTCTTTAAATCTTCCCAGCATTTAGATAATGATACCAAGAGCCTTCCAGAGGATGACGAGTACAGTGAAATGATATGCTCTGGATGCATGAAAGAACATGATTTCCTGTGGCGATATGCTACTAAATATTCTAGTAAGCACAACAATATTGGTTGTTAATTCTTAATTAAATTTATGACTTTTTATTTTACCGCTCTTGTAGTTTCCAAAGATAAGAATGTCCACGCGAATCCGGAAAATGAAAAAGTTGACGTAGAAAAACTCGAAATTGAGTGCACTTTACCAGTTGCTGATTCTCCAATAAAGGAGGGGAGCGTGTTCTGGTCGGCAACTTGGCGATCTTCATTATGCCATTGTGAAAAGTGTCAAAAAGTAAGACACACAAAATCACATAAAGCCATAAAGAAACAATGACGAAACGATAAAAAAAAAAAAATATATATTTTTGATTTTTAGACTTATGAAGAGCATGGCTTATCGTATCTTCTGGACCCGTTCGACACTGTCCAAGAGTATGAAAAAGTCAGTAAGGCTAAAGGAAACGAATCTCTTCATGAGAAGGGCATGAAGGCTCTCGCATCTCTCGGCCATGTACAGCAATTGACCGCTATCGAAGAGTATAATAAAATGAAAGACAATCTGAAGGAATATCTTAAGAAATTTGCTGAGAATAAAAAGGTTGTGCGAGAGGAAGATATCCGGGAATTTTTTACTAAAATGGCATCGCAAAAGCGCCAAAAGGTCGTTGTTCCAACTTTTTGCCGTTAAGGGCATTTTATATTTTTAAAAATGTTTTAAGTAAAAAAAAAAAAGAAATTTATCGTGTTTTTATAAACTAAATCTTGTAGCATTTTACTTGATCCATTTGGGGCTACAAGAACTGCCAAATTAATGGTAATTTATTGTTCCTTTTCTATATGCATGTAAAACGTTTATACCGATTTCGGGAACTCTTAAAATAGTTTGTAGCAATAGTATGTTTACATTAAAAAAGTTTTAGCGTTTTAAAAAAAAATCCGTTTTGAAAACGGTATATCTTGTATCATTGAAATCAATCAAGGATAATTGTTTTTTTGTAAGGAATTTTTGAAATATAATTTTTGCATAATAAAATACAGTATTCGTTCTGAATTGAATCAACACAATCTAAATCTATTATTAATGCAATTTTCAAAAAGGCACAATGGTTTTTTGAAATTTTTTTTTTTCCAGGTAAACATATTTACATTCCGAAGTAACACCAATAGAGATGAATCATTTAATTTTCGATTAGCTTTCGTTTCTAATTCTTGAAGTCCTCGATTTTCGAGGTTTTGGTTCGAATCGGAAGTACCACTATGGGTTTACTGGAGCTCGGTTTGTCGGTGTAAATGGACCAAGTCCTTTCGATACAGTCGAATATTCCTGAAACGAAAATTTCGATTATTTATCCCGTTGGTCGTGTTTGCATACACATGTATAATTCTCGTACCTGTTGCTATAGTCTTGACATAATCGTCGGGATGTATTTCCTGATAAACTCTATAGTCGTCGTCCGTCTGATCGCTGAGCACGTCTATAACGTCCTGAAGGGTTTTCGGCTGATCGTGCCTGTTGATAGCTTCCATCCTGTGAATGCTGCTGTCTATGATACAACCCACTACTTCCGGTACCTTCAGCCGCATGTACCTGTTGCAAAATATTAATATACATCCGAGGTTTGGCGACGAGACATTGTAAGACCCTCGTGTGGGGTAAAAATGTTCTATGGACGCACTTGTTGCAATGATAGAGGTAATCACCGGGACGGGCCTCGCTGATGTCGAGACGCGAGCTCGTGTCGTTTGGTTCGGCGGGGCCGATTTCGATGTTCTTGAACACCCGATCGCTGTAAAAACTCGCATCGTTGACGAAGGTCATGTTGACGGAGAAGCCCTCCGCGGCGCCGTAGCCTTCGTTGCGAAGCACCTCCTCGGCGCACTCGCCACTGTCGGCCGCGAGAAGCGCTCGAGCCAAAAAGTACCGGGCTGTTGGACCATACGTAGTTATTATTATGTTCAAGTAGTTGATTGGTCGCAAAAGTTAAAAAATAGAGCCCACGTGTTTTCCCGGAGCAAAGATGCTCGGCGCTGAGGGTGTTGACGCTGTAGACGAGGCCGTGGTGGTTGTAGCCCATCGTGTACCCGGGTAGGAATCCGGCGTAGCTCAGCGAGCAAAACTTTTCTTCCGCCAGTCCTGCCTCCACAATGTGCGCGTCCACTAGGTACCAGTGGTTCAACGTCTCGCTGAGCGCGTCCTCGTTGTGACCTAGAATCTCCTATACGCCGTCGTGGCGATTAAATTTTATTTTAATTTACTGATCATACACTTTGAATCCTCCCATTCCTATCTTCCCTCACTCGAATCAAGCGCCCCCAAAAAGCTAAAGCTTGCGCGTACAACCCATTCCGTTGGGTATCGATCGAAAAAGGTTGAAAAATGTGCAAGTTGATGAAAATAGTTGAGCGCCTCTGTACAATCAAGTATTGAATATTACAGAAGATAATACCTGACCAGGTTGGTTGCAGATAATCGAAGAGCAGCCAACGGGGTTCTTGCCGTTTCTCATCACCTCGCCATTTGTCTCGGGGGGCACAATGATGTCGTCCAGGTGCATAAGGAATAGCTGCAACGCGATTTTAATCATATGTTTAGGTGGATAGATTTTATAATAATACGTATATACACATGATTATATTATACTCGTGGTACACTTTGGTGATAACCATTATAATAATTTCGGTACGTATTGAATAAGGAGCGCCTTATTTCGTATGACTGTACCTACAATATATAGGTATACGTGCGTGTACGGCAAATCCTTGCGGTTTTCATCTTTTGATTACAAAGGCGCGAGGACGCTCTTCTTGTTATAAGTATATACTTTTATTGTGACGCACGCGTTTCCGCGAATATTTACACGGTTTGTTCGAAATTTCGTTTACGTATGCCAAAGTGTAATGAATTTTCTGAGAAGTGATTCCTTTTTCGTTGCTATGCCATACGTTTCTTCACAATTGTGAGTGTGTAATTTGAGTATATTGTGCTCAATAAAAACTTCCCATCAAAGCACGTAAGTACACGTGCTCACTCTGAAATGTGCAACACTCTCCTTGCTAGGCTCATCCCTCCAATACACCAAGATTATCCCAAGATGCATGTGTACAGGTATACCAAGAGCTCCTCCCGATTAAACAAAAAAAAGCCGTATATGTATATCACATCGGGTATAGAGACTGACCTTGTAGAAGGGCACCTCGGAGCCGTCGGCCGTGCCCTCGATCTCGCGGACGTACTGCGGGTACTGCTCCATCACGCAGGCGAGCGTCTCGTCGTAGACGCGCCGGCCCCCTGGTGTCTCGTACTGGGCCAAGTACGTGTCGTTCAGGGGCCCGTACGTTTCGACAAAGTCTTGGATGATCTTTTTGAACGTCCGACCCTGCAGCGAAATCAATAAATAACAGCATCAGTAGACATAGGCAACATATTCGACTCGTTTGCGTTTATTTTTTAATCCGACTCGATCTGCGGGTGGCATTGTTTTAGAGAAATGCACCCATATGTAAATCGTTATTGCGCGCACTAGAAAGGAGACTGAACGAAAACACACGTGTATTTGATGGAGAAAAAAAAAACGCAGAAAAACATCAAGTGTGACACGCTGCACCAAACGGACTTTTCCTATCAAAAAAAACAAAAAAAAAACAGAGAGATAGAGCGCAAAAAAGCGCTTTTGTTTCATTATCAAAGTCACGCATCGAATAATGCTAACTATCTCATGCTTACCTATACATCTATCTCACGGTTCGCGTGATTAACGTATAGTATATGCATGGAGAAACAGCACCTTTCAAGATCACCACCAACTCTCAAATGTTTTTTGTTCATTAAGTACAAAATATACGTAATATATTAAACGGGGTGGGTACGAATTCTTTCTTTTCTGTCGCCTTATTTTTATCACCTGCAAACACTCCCAACTATACTTACTTTTCCGAGCTGCATCGATTTCATTAAAATTTTATTCTAATCTGGCTTTTCCTTATTAGTATAATTAATAATAATCCTACATCGAATGTGATCTTTTTTCTTTATTTTTACCATACTGAGAAAATCTATCTAAAAGGACTTTATTTCTTTTTTCTTTTAATGATTACCGTAGATGTATATCTCCCGATTACTTATGTGTCAAATATTAAATTGTGTGAACTAAAAAAACTAAAAAAAAAAGACCGAAAAAATATAAAGAAGACATCTTAATGCTCAAGTAGGTACACACCTATTTCTCTTCGCATCAGCTTCGTATGAGCACCTAATACTCAGACGTCAGATCACGTTGCATGCGCGTAAGAAAAATTACGAAATTTCTCGGAAGCCGTATCCAAACTATCATCCACAGCGCACCTATCATTGTAATATTGTATACGGTACATATTATGCAAGACAAGGTAACAGAGCTCGCCATGGATTATAAAAAAAAAAAAAAAAAAAAAAAAAAAAAAAAAATTAATCACGATACCAACACACTCGCGCGAGTAACACTACTGCGTACGTGCGACTTGCATTGTCTAATGCAATATAATGTCTTGGGTGCACAATTCGATCGCGATACATGTCGAACGTAGAAAGAAAAAAAAAAAAGAGAGAAAAAAAGCGCGAGCTCCTCGACGACGCGACCTTCTTCCGCGTAATCGCAGGATTACCGGCGGCTTTTTACCTTTGCATGCTTCCCTGCGCTGCATTACGTGTACCGGCGATTGCGTAAAATAAAAGTGCATTACTTACAGACAAGAGACAATCTCCGATCGTCGCCTATACACACGTGGTATCATTCTTCCTCTGTACTACTTTGACGGGTCATCACTGCACATTGACGATTTTCAAGTTCGCACATTGACAGTAGCCGTTTGATATAACTTTTTTTTTTTTTTATAATAACATTTACCGTTTACATTAAAGATAATTAACGGGGCAACGTAGATGCGCAACAACGTACGCGTGCTTATACATAATACATATAGAGCCAGCGAGATGATATTCTCCGCTCACTTCGTTTTTCATGAACGTCAAATAATCAAGGACGTCGTGGGAAATGTAAATTTTATATTCTGACAAAAAAAATTTTTAAATGAAATTGACGAAATGTGCGTACGTACAAGTACTCACATGGTTGTGCAATCACCGACTGGAGTAATAACAATAATATTATTTTATGTTTCAATATATAATTTAATTCTGCAATTTAACGCACGCACTAGCTTTACATATATATACATGCATGATTTCATTACATATTGTGATTTGTAAAAAAAATAGTCCAATGGATGGATATCATGCAGAGTGTCGAATAATCAAACATGTGAATTCCTCGAGTTGTCCTGTGAAAAATAGATAAAATACCTAATGACACACAATGTTCCGCACAAAAGTTATGTACATATTAATAAATGATTTCATTATACCATACGTATAATATACAATAGGTGCAGTGCACCCGTATATTATCCAGTGTATTTTAATCGTATGTATTGTGGAATCGAGCTATTAATATATATATATACCTGCGAGCCTGCAATCAATGAAACGGACAATGGCACTGGAACTTTAATCGCAACAGCCTGCACGTGCCGCGCCCCTTTCAAGAGATGCCCTTTGTTTTGACAAAGATGAGATTTAAAAAAAAAATAATAAAATAAAATAAAACTTACATGACTTGGAAAGCCAAGGATCCCCTTTCGTCCGGCCGATCGGTCATCGCCGACTGACTCGCGCAACTTCTAGTTCGCGTAAAATCGACCTTGAGCGCGTTGCGTCGCGAAGCGAAGTTCTCGCGATTTTCCCAGGAAAACACGTGCCTCTTAAGGAAACGTCAGGGCGATTTTTACACTTTGCTTCATCTCCATCCTCTTCTTCTTCACCACTGCCCCCTTCCATCGAGGCTTTTTTTTTATTTTTATTTTTCTTAGCGACACTCTTAATTGATACCTACATGTGCTTGACGTACGCGAAGACATTAATTACCTACCGGCAGATCGAGAGCTCTTTCCTATGGAAA